ACTAGGGAGTAGACTGGTCAAATTTACTTATCAGTCAGAATGAATGTTATAATTTTGAGAAATTTTAAATAATCAACCTTTATATAAGTAATTCTCTTTACTGTTGCTTAAAGAATCATTTTATTTTTGTAGTCATATTTCCCTGTTATTTTCTCTCCTGACTTCAAAAACCCTGCTATGAAAGAAAGAATGGAGGCAGGAGTAGAGAAAGGAATGAACATTAACTGAGTGTTTAAGTGTAAAGTCTTGTGCTAAATAGTTTTATATATCTTATTCTGTATAATTTATTCTTTACAATTACCCTTTTAAACTTAGTTGAGTAATTTACTCAGAACCATGTAGGTGGTGCAAGATAACATTGAGATTTGAAACCAGCTTTGTTTAAATCCAATAGCCATGCCATTTCTACTATCCCGTTGCCTTTCAAACTTTGTTGCAGGGAAGTCTGAGGTCTTCAGAGACTATGACTGGGGCTATTGAATGGTCAAGTAGAGGACTGGGCCTCCCTTATCGCTATTCAACCAGAGCAGTTTCACTTATATCTGTTTCATTTATTAGGGCTCCACATAGAATTTTGTTAAAAAAAAATTCCATTACTAACAAAACGTTTGAAAGTTCAGCTACACTATGCTGAAACTTCTGAAAATGTATCCCCAAACCATCATAGAACTCTGAGGTTAGTCATCAGGAAGGTGGAAACCGAGGTGGCCAATCTGAAATTAGGTCACTCTGAGCTCTAGCAAAATGTCATAAATTCTTTGATTCCCAAGCCTGAGTTGTGACAACTAGCTTGTTAGTTTTTTTTTTTTTAAATGTAGGTATGAATTACTCAAGTAATAGAAAATCAATATATGCATCAAAGGGTAAAGATTAAGGTCGTCCTTTCAAAGTAAGTTAGCCACAACAGGATGCGCCTTTGTCAATGGGCTTATCTGTAGAGCTTAGTGAAGCAAGAGGGACACTCAGCGTGTGTCACAGTCTAGAAATAAAAAGCTTTCTCTATCTCTTGTCTTCCCCATCAAACATAGGTAACATAAGTCATGGGATTGAAATCTCTTTTATGTAGAGAGATGGCAGAGAGCTATAATAAAAGAAAAACTGGACTTTAAGAAGACATGAGTCCAACAGACCAAGTGACATTGTGAAAGCCAGTGGATCCCTTTGAACCAGTGGTTTTCAAATTGCAGGTCGTGACCATCAATTAGTTGCCATCAACATTAAAAAATGAAATGGAATAGAGTGGAATGTTTATTTCATGAAAACTTTTCTCAGTTATGGGTGTGTAAGAGAAAGAGACACAGACAGACAGACTCTATGCAGTGTGTATTTCTTACTTTGGGTTATTACCAAAAAGGTTTGAATGCCTTTGCTTTCAAAATTTCTCTTGTACATTCTCTTATACATGAAATGAGGATAATAACAAGGCTTTCTATGTACCACATAGAGTCAATGTATCAAGTAAGATTACATATGTGAGGTTTTTCAGGAAACTTCAGCAAAGTGCTTTATAAATTTAAAGTGCTACTGAAAGTAAAGATGAGTTATTTGTTTTACAAAATAAAATAGCACCATCATTTTCTGTGGCACACGTACACGTAAATCTCTGCTGCAGAGTAATATGTTTGAGGTCAGGCTATTTACCTGGAATTCCTAAGCAATTCAAAGTTAATTTCATATTTTCTTTTTACTGCATCAAGATAGATAAGTATTTGGCATTATCTTTCTATTATTGATGTGATAGTCTTAGATGAAAATAATTGAATTAATAAATCAATATTTTATTTATAGTCTCTGAGAGGGTCCTTTAAAGGAGAGTGAAATTGTGGGTTTGCATTTCAGTTATTATCACAAATTGACCTATTTCTACTTCTGTTTAGACTTTCATCTACATGTATCCCAAATTACCAGCTACTTGCCAAATAGCTGTACATATACAAAAATCATATATATCCAGCATCATGTCCTAAGGCGAATGTTTTTAGCTCTTTTCATAGCCTGCCTTCCTTCCCCCTTCAAACAAATAGACAAGCAGACCAACAAACAACTCCTGTTCTCAACCTACCTCTCTGTTTCAATGGTTTTACTATTAAAACTCTTTGGCTAAGGGTATTGGAGCTTTATTTTACTCCGCTCTGTTATTAACCTCCTGAGTCCAATTTGTTGCCAAGCTTTGTTTTTTGTTTGAAATTCTCCCTTACAATCAATTCCCTCTGACACCACCCTAGCCTCCAACCTAATTACCTTGTTGCCAGATGATCTGAAAGGCTTCTTTGTCTCTCTTCACTCTATTTGCGTCTATGTAAATTTTCTTAAAATATTTTTGTTAGAAAAATCATTTTAGTAATTTACAACATGATGACTATAGCTAACACTGCTGTGTGATGTGTAGGAAAGTTGTTAAGAGGGTAAATCCTGAGAGTTCCATCACAAGAAGAAAAATTTTTTTCTTCTTTCTTTTCTTTCTCATCTCATCTATGATGATGGATGTTAGTTGAACCCATTGTAATAATCATTTCACAGTATGTGTAAATCAAACCATCATGCTGTATGCCTTAAATTTATACAGTGATCTATGCCAATTATTTCTCCATAAAACTGGAAAAAAGAAACAAAAACAAAAAAAATCATTTTACTCCTTGTACAGGACTCACAAAGGCTATATGGCTCCCCCATTGATTTCAGAATTTCGCCTGGCTATCAATGTCTTCTATAATGTAAATCCATTATACCCCTCATTCATTGATTCATTTATCCAAACTTGTTTTTTTAGTAAAAGGTAGAAGATTTATTTGATCTAAAGAGAAACCAGAGTATCCAATTATTTTAAATTTCTGTTTTTGCTAGTTATTAGGTACTGTGAATATTAATGAAGATAAGCACAACAGAGTCCCCACTGTTTAAGAGTGTATTCCTTAATGGCAAAGACAGGCAAACAAACGTGTAACCACAATGTTTTATGACAAATAAGAAGTACACTATGAGGTCAATGGAAAGGGAGTAACCACCAACTCTGATTTCCTGCTGGTCCCAACTCTCGGTCTTTCGCTTCAGCCAAACAAGTGGCCTGTGAAAATTAATCACACTTTTCAACCTTTGCTGAAAAATGTATGTGTCTTTGACTTATTTTTTCCATCCAAATACCATTCATCTTTAAAAATTCAGCTTATCCTACCTTTACCCTGAAACCTTCATTACCCATTTCAACTCATACTCTTCTCTCCCTCTTCTTATACTTGTAATAGGTTTAAAAATTTTTTAGTAAATAGTTGTATTAGTTTTATACAAGCTTTGTCTCCACAACTGAATTACATACATTTTCTTTTCTTTCTTTCTTTCTTTTTTTTTTGGTGAGGACGATTAGCTCTAAACTAACATCCGTTGCCAATCTTCCTCTTTTTGCTGAAGATTAGCCCTGAGCTAACATATGTGCCCATCTTCCTCTATTTTGTATATGGGATGCTGCCACAGCATGGCTTAATGAGTGATGTGGTGTGTAGGTTCGCACCTGGGATCCGAACCTGCGAACCCCAGGCCACCAAAGTGGAGCGAGTGAATTTCACCACTATGCCACTGGGCCAGCCCCCTGAATTACATTTTCTTTGAGGGCTGTTTCTTGGTTTCATCAGTACCAGGCTCAGTGTTAGGAACCAAACTTGTGTTTATCATCTCTAAGAAAACCAGTCAACAAGAAGCACTTTAAAGAAACAAAATGGAAAATTTCAGGGCTTAATCTTTAGCTAAATAACCTCATTTCAAGTGACATGTTTGTTAAACCTATTTTTGTATATTCAGTCACTGTGAGAATAATTGTACTGTACTTTTCTCCAGAGAAATCAAAGCATTTTATTTTTTCCCATTTTTCCTGCCATACAACACACACTCAATTTATCTAATTTCCAAAAAGTTTAAGTGATGAATTGGTGGGAAAATTTAGTTACCCAGCTTTCTAGTCTCTTGCACTATTTAGTGAATTCTGCATGGCAGATTTTCTTTTCTTTTTTAACCACCTGGCCAGTTTAGAATGTCTAGATAAATTTCCACTTGTAGTGGCAAGTTTTTGGAGGATCCCGGTTAACTCTGACTTGACTTCTTGACACATCCTCATACCCTGGGTTCATCATACAGTACATTTACAAGCAGAGAGACAAGTTGATTATCTGTTATTAAAGGATCTTTGCTATTTGTAAGAATGTGTCCTTCAGAGATATGACGTTGAAAAAGACAGATTCTGCAGGTCAGTTAACCAAGTTGCCTCTACTGAGACAATCTGGACAGATGTCTGCCTTCTGTAAGAGAGGGCCTTTGCCTATACCAACAGTCTTAGAGTTTTGCTAACAGCTTGTTACAGTCTAAATTACCTCCAGAAAAGCAAGTCAACCTCAGGGAAAGAGTCAAATTTCCAAAAGTCCAAGATTTTTCACTTTTTCTTTTTATTCAGTCCCACCCAGCTGCAAACTACAGAACAACATACTAATCGTGAATAATTCTCTCTAAGCTGCAATGACAGAATTCTTAAAGTTTTTACTCAAGAAATCCCAAATAAGGTAAGTTATAAATACTTTCTACCCATGCAAATTTCATAGTTCCTAAAGATTCTCTCCATTTACCATGTCAACCTGAGCAAAAAGAAAAATGGATGGAAAAATAAGATGTCAAATAAAAGGTCAAATTTGAGAACAGCTACATTTTTGGGGAGCATTTCCTATGTGCCAGAGATTATGCTAGACACTTTAATACATTATTCATTTAATCATCACAAAAGCTGCATAAAGTAGGCATTACTTCCATTTTATAAATGAAGGAACTGAAACCCAGAGAGGTTAAGAAATTTGCCCAAGGTAGCAGAGCCAGGATTAAACTCCACTCTCTGACTTCCAGAGCCCAAGCTCTTAAAGATAATACAATACTGCCTTTGACATACAATAATACAATACAGTACTCAAGTTTAGATAGGAAATGTGTGATTGCCATATCCTAGCAAGTTCATGATAATGTTTTACCTGTGGTCCAGCAAAGATACTACTGAGAAGCCAGGCCAAGCCAATCATGGACTGTCCAAGCTTGCTGTTGCTTTTCACAGCTAGGGGCCTTGTGATGGCCAGGGAGCGGTCCAGGCTGATCACTACCATCATGAAGGCTGGGGCATACATGGAGAAAAGCTTCAGATAGCTGAGGACTTTGCAGAGGAGCTCTCCAGCATACCATTGGACTGTAATGTTCCACATTCCATCCAGTGGCATGACGATCAGTGTCTCCAACAGATTGGCTAAGGTCAGATGTTTTAAAAGCACCTTCATCCTCGAGAGCTTTTTCCCATTCTCTTTCTTCTGAGTCCACTTCTGAAGTTTCAACAAAAAAGAAGCATTAAAGGTTGTGGAGAGTAGAAAAAGGAAGAAAGTAACTGTCACTCGGATCTTTCCAGATAAGGTCAGGGTAGGGAGGTTGGCCTGCATCAGCGGGCTGCTGCTGTTGTCAGCTGAGCAGTGATTTTGATTCTGTTCAGGAGAGGCATTGTTTGCCATACTTCCCCACTGATAGAGCTTCAAGACTTGTGTTTCTGTCACTTATGTTTTATTGTAATTGAACCCAAAGTCCCGTTTTATTTCTGCCTTCTTTGGATGAAAACATCACAGGTTTAGATTATGTCAAATTTTGTCCCGGAGATAGTTTATATTTAGTATGAAAGATCAAGGTGAACTTGTTTTGTGGGTTTATAATCCAACAGAGTGCTCAAACAGAGCATGTCAAACACATTCTGAGGGCCAAATGTAACTGTAGTACCCCAGCAGATGGCCTGGTTTTCACAACATTTTTCCTAAGTGGAGAAGGACACTGGAAGCTCAATTGTGAATTTAAAATTCACTCATGTTATTATTCAAATAATTTTAATGAAGAGATTTTCTAAGAACTATTAAGTGTTTGTATTCTGTCCAACAGATGCAAAATGAAAATGAAAAAAATGTGGAAAAAGTTAAAATCTGTTTAAATCAGATAATTGAGTTAAAATCTTAATCCAGTTAAAATCTGTTGTTTTAAGAAATTAATACATTTCTCAAAACACATTTGTTTTCTTTTTCAATCATACACTGAGATTTCAAACGCTAGAAAAATATGTTGATTTAAAACCATCCTTCATAAAACACCAAATCAATACCTTAACAGTTAGAATCAATTTGATCTAATACAAATTGGGCTGCATTCAAATTTATCAAATTATCTTAATGGTCAGATTATCCATGCTTAAGTTAGAGTAAAAATGGTTAACATTTTTTTATTATTGCCTTGCTTTTATGATTGTCTCAATATTGTACTTGCCATTATTGCACATTATTGCATAGGTATTGGAGAGATTACTATATAACTATATAACTAGGTATTGGAGAGAAGACTACATAAACGCTGTATCCATATTTATGTATGTTTATATATAATGTGAATATTTGTTTATATTACTTTATACATTATATGACCATTTCACATTGGGGCCACTTAGAAACTATCTCTGCATCGCTGGTTTAACTTTCATGGTAAGTGCTTGATGCTGTTGTTTACCAATACTGGCATGACTGACATTGGAATTTATTAAATCACCAGTTTAATTTCTCTTATGTCAACTAGGTTGCTTCTGTGGCATCCAAAGCAAGAATAATGTTAAGAGTAAAGGTGGCTCTTTTGACTTAGATGGTCCTTTCTTGTTAGTTCGTTTATTTGTTTATTCTGTCTTTTATTCATTTATTTAATAAATAGTTACTAAATACCTGCTATATATATTCTCTTAGCTTTTGCAGGTGGTAAATAGTACATATGGCGTCATCCAGGCCCTGAAGGAGCTTATTTTGTACTATAGAAGATTAGATAAGAATATCGCCTATGTCTTATGTGCCTCCTCAGATTCCCTCTGTGCTGGCTGCCTCCTGGATCTTGAGCAGCTTAGACCAGCTCCTTACCGGGGCTCCCTCTTTGCTGTCACCATATGCCCAGAATTACTGGCTTTCTTTCACTACTTCTAGACTTGGATGAAATATTATGCTGCAGGACATTGAATCTGGCTTTCTTAGTGACTTTCTGAAAGGTCATATTTTCTAATGGAGTATTTTGGTTCTGAAATGGGTTGTTTTACAATAATTAGTGGGAGGAATAAATGAGTTAGAAATCATGAGAAGTATGCCTTTTATAAAAATGTATCACATGTATTTTTAAGCACAAATATAGCATAAATACACACGATTCTCATTATTTGTGGTGGTTATATTCTATAAAGTTGCCATGAACACTGAATTAGTGAATACTGAACCATTGCTCCTATGAACTAAAACACCATTTGCATTACACAGGTTCATTTGCCAACATCCTTGTAAAACAAGCTAGACTCCTCAACGTTGAAACCTGCTCTTCCACATAACCTTTTTCGTGTATAACACTTAACATATATTTAAAAAATTCTTTCAAAGTTTCGTAATCTGCAGAACCTGCGAGCTTAAAATTTTTCACACCATATTGCCTTTTGAAATGTGCAAACCAGTTACCATAAATTTCTTTGGTGTTCAGCCTCACAGCAATGTTATCTACTGTATTAAAAAAAAAATCAGTTCTTATCTCATGAATCCATAAATTTCACCAATTTTCCATCTTTTCTATGTCTTCATCATGCGCCGTCTAGAGCAGCCTCATGTACAAATAGGCAAATTTCCTTTTTCTTTTTCTGGATGTGTCATATTATTAATTATTAACATTGAAGTCATAGCCCCCAGCACTATAACTTATGTCTGAACAAGGCTCATCTAACACACATATTTTCTCCCTAAGGCACATCACAGCCTCCTAGTGCTTAGGAACACTGCAGAGCACTTCAGCACTAGGGGCCTTTTTAAACAGTGAAATCACCAACAACATTTACAAAAATGTGAAAAATATGGCACTAAATATACCACTAAAAGGATGCTTGCTTATAGCATCATAGCTGAAATGAGAAGGCACACCATCGCCTTGTTTGACCTCAGCTGGGAAATTGCATGTTGGGCAACTCAAATTTTTCCCCACTCTGTGCATGCACATGTCTGGGATAATCATAAAAGCACTGTGAATATTGATTTTGGGGTTAATCAATTTTAGCAAATAGGTGGATTTGTAAATAATAATAATTGACTATAAATAAGAATCAATAAGTAAGATCAGATAAGTTAAAGAAAAATTAAAATTCTCATTAGAGCTTCCAAATAAGTTAAACTATATTACAAACGTAAAATGTTCCTAACATTGAAAAAAACAGTTTTAAGCCAGAAGTTCACAATAAATTGAAAGAAATACTATTTGTTGAGCCCTTAGCTATTGAGATTTTTAGGCGAGAGGGCAAAATTATATAGACTATTAAAGAAAGGCATTTTTTAACATCTGAGATTTGTGACTGTAAAACTTGTACCTATTGCATTGCTATAATAGGTTCCTTATAACAGTTTATTATTCTGAAAAACTCAAAAGGCTTTGCATATACATCATGTCGGTTAATCTGATCAGGGCCATATACCTGAAACAAAAGAAAACAAGGTAACCATTGGATAGATTTTAGAAACCTGAAAAGCTATTATATGTGGGCTGGCAACTAAAAGAAAAAAGGAAAAAAATGTTTCATGGTAAAATCTGATTATACTGAAGTATATTTTGTCCTTTGCCTCTACATTCAGGGAAAGAAAAAAATTGGAGCATGAATCCTTTATTATTAGTTTCTATCCTTTCCTTTTCTTTTTTTTCTATTCCTTTCCCTTTCCCAGATTCAGTTTGATTGCAACTTCTCCCAAAATGTATCAGTTTATTAAAGTAGGAAAAAAAGTAAAGAAAGACAGCAAAGGAGAGAGAGAAAGAAAGAGAGAGAGAGGGAGGGAGGGAGAGAGGGAGGGAATAAGGAAAAAAAGAAGGTAGAAAGGAAGGAAGGAAAAGGGAATTTAGGAGATAGGCAATTAAATGATTGGGGGATGGGGAGGGCATTCTCAGCAGCTGGAGCAGCATGCTCAAATACAATGTTAGAAAGTTCAACGTGACTGGAAAAGGGTGTGTGTGAGCAGGAGTGGCAAAAGATGAGGCAGCCATCAGGTCAGGAAAATCTGTATTACATGCAAAGGAGTTTGGGCTTTACCTATAAATAGTGCCTTGAAGGATGGAGTAGTATGGTGCAGATATGGCTGAGTTCATGCTTTTGAAAGATCATTGTGTAACACTCGAGAATGCATAGAAGGAGTCTGGGGAACAGTGGGCAGATCAAAATTTGAGGTAGTTAATCTATTTAGAAAACACTTGCTGCCAACACAACATGGAAAGTATGGTGGTAGCATAAAATGAAGAGAGATAAATTTTGTTTTATATATTATGCAGAAGATATAGTTAATAGGACTTGATTAATTAGTTCTTGTTTTCGAGAGAGTAGAAAAAATAAAGAATTAGTCCTTAATTTCCATCTTGGAAAATGAGTTGGATGGACTGTCTACTAAGGTTGGAATACTGGAGAGATAGCAGTTTTAGACATATTGAGTTTGAGATGCCTATAAATTAGCCCAAAGGAAATTTTTAGTAGGCACTTGGTTATACAGGTGTGAAGTTCCAAGAGATATATCTGGTTGGAGATATAAATCAGTAGAATATTTGTATATTGCTTGTGGTTGAAGCCATGGAAATGGATGAGATTACCTAGGGAGAGTGTAAACAATAAGAAAAGACAAATGCCCAGGAAAGAGCTCTGTGAACACAATCATTTAAGGAGCACATAGAGACTGGGGAGCATTGTAAAGTAATGAGGAGACCAGAAGAGGGTAATGTAATGGAAGTAATAGGAGGAGAGAATTTCAGGAGGGAGGAAGTGATTCACACATCAAATATCTCAGAGATGGGATAAGGCCTAAAAAGAGTTAATAAGATTTGGTAATTAGTAGCTCACTGATGATTTGCCTAGAGTAGCTTTAAAAAAGTCCTTTAGTGAGAATGGCCATTTGAAGAGCATATGAGATTTGAGGAAGTGGACATAAAAAAGAAAAAAGGATTTTAAAAATAGATATGTAAGTCTTGAGGACGTTTAGAGATTTAGGGATGGGCCGAGTAGAGAGGGAGAGCAAGTCAAGGGATTAGGGCAGATGTAGCAGAAAGACAAGGGATCAGATCCCTTAGGGGAGCTGATTATGCAGTCAGGCACTAAGGAGTTTAGGGTTGATAGGGAGGGAAGTGGATCTGTGAAAGAGTTGGAGGTGGGATAGGTTCAAATAGAAGAGGGGGGTCAAGAATAGAGAATCTTGATGGAATGAAAACAAGTTGTAATGGAGTAACGGAGTCATAAACCTAGGAGGATGTAGATAGAAATTTGAATTTAAGATTCCAGATGTGAAGATGTTCTAACAAAAAGGTACAGTTGTGGCCATGAAAGTGGATAGGTGAAATGGAAGCGAATGAAGTTTGATGCATTTAAGTAGCTCAAAGAACCTTGAATCTAGGCTGTTGGATGGGTCAACCATTTGGATTTTGAAGGTGCTCATAGATTCTGGTGATAATGATACTATTAACAATATTTAAC